TCATTTTGGGGATTTGGCATTAGATGGCCAGCAGGTAGATCTAACAGAGAAAAGAATAGTGTGTTCCCAGACTGACACCAAAGGTATCCTCTATGTCTTCCATATAGTCTAGATATATTCATCAGTTGAAAAGAGTTCTATTGTATACCTTTCAGCTAGCAATATTTTCCTATCAAACTTCAGACAATGAGTAGAAATCATATAACTACCGCTTGTTATACCAAACATGGAATGCCTCAGAGGGCATAAATCATCTGACTTCAATTCCCGATCTTCTTTATAGATACTTCAACAATCTCTTTTAACAATTGAGGCACAACTGCTAAAATGAAGTAGATGAGATCCTTCTGGACTAAGATTTTCGTCCAAGGAATCAATTGATACAGCATTCTCAGGCTCCATGTTGACACTGAATTCGCAGCATGCTTCCTGCAATCTGTATTATTTGGAAAATGTTAGCGAGTGTGAGAGAAACCTTGGAGAACACGATTCTTCAGGTAATGATATTTTAATATATAGGTGCCCCTCACTGGATTCGTCAGCTGATCATCACCTACTGAGATGTTTGAAAGATTTAGAACTTGGTGTAGGAAGCTGAAACCCTTTAAGCTCTAATGTAATAAGTTCAGTCTTTTGTTGTTCTTGTTCAGATCTATACATCGTATCATATTTTTGTTTGTATCCACTACGGGATGCATACAGTTTCTGTCATGTTGTCAAATATCTCACATGAAAGAACATACCTCTCTGTCCTTTTTACGTGTAGCCACTATGCATTTAATTATCCAAAACGTTCAAGACACAAGGACCAACACTATGTGCAGACTCCTCAGTCCATGGGATGGTTGAATGAAGTTATTCTGTAAGTAGAACGTAAATTGACAATTTAACACTTTATCATCTGCAAGCAAGGACGTATAGCAACTCTATAAACTTAAACATTGAGAGAATTTCAGAATCTAACTCAGAAGCTTTTGTGTAATAATCTTTAAATGGTTTGAGCAACATTCACATCCAACATTTTGTTTGGTGCCACTGTACCAATAGCTACATGCATAATCTGTCTCTATCAACTTTAGATCCTACGCTGATCTTTACAGCCAGTAAAGATGTCAGACCAAACTAGAGCCAGGAACTTTGATGGTATTCCTCTCATCCATCAATCTCCTCAAGCTCTCAGCATCTCTAAACCTTCCAGCACCAGCAAGGATATTTGACATAAGAACATAGTCACCTCCATATCCCCTCTCAATCTCCATTATCTTTGTTGTCACCCTTTCACCCACCTCAACATTACCATAAAAGCTACAGGCACCCAAAAGTATTCTCCAAACCACGTCACTCGCTATCTCACGAGGAATCTCTAGAGCAATCCTTTCTGCTTCTTCCAACCTCCCCGCCCTCCCTAACATGTCAACCAAACACCCATAGTGCTTAACGCCAGGCAAGATTTGACACTCATTAACCATCTTTTCGAAAAACTTGAGGCCCTCCTCAACCAGACCTCCATGACTACAAGCATTCAAAACACTCAAGAAAGTAACCCTATTTGGCTTCCAACCTACTTGCTCCATCCTTTGAAAACTCTCAACAGCTTCTTTCCCCATCCCATGCAATGCAAAACCTGAAATCAACGATGTCCAGGAAATCAAATTTTTCATATCAGCTGAAATCTCTTCAAAAAACCTCAACGCACTCATCATGCACCCACATTTTGCATACGTATCAATAAACGAATTCATGATACGAATATCAGACACATGAAACCCTCTCTTCTCTCCATAACCATGAATCAACCGACACATCTTGATATCACCAATATTCCAAACAGCAGGTAAAATAGCCAAGACCGTTATGTAAGAAGGTTCAACCACATCATCCACAACCATTCTTCGAAACAAACCTAAAGCCTTCCTATACTGGTTCATCCTCGTGTACCCATCAATCATCCCACTCCACGAAACAATATCCCTATCCGGCATCTTTTCAAACAAAAAACGCGCAAACTCAATATCCCCTTGTTTAGCCAAGCCAGTGATCATCACATTCCAAGTAACACGATTCTTATCAGGCATTTCATCAAACACTTTTTTACACTCAACTGAACCTCCACTTTCGACATACATATTAACCAACCCAGTTTGCACATAGGGATGGGACTCAAAACCCATTTTTATTTCAACCCCATGAAACTGTTTGCCTAGAACTACGTCATTCAAATTAGCACAAGCTTTGATAAGGAATGCGTATGTAAAGCTATCAAATTTCAAGTAAAGGTAGCAACTTTGGACTTGTTGGTAAAGAAAGATGGCATCGTTGGGATTTTCACTAAAAGAATAGCATCTAAGTAAAGCGTTGAAGAGTCTAAGAGAGTGGGAAATCGAGGCTGTTGTGAGTAAGTGAGAGTGGACTTGTTTTGGGACTCTCAGGTTTGTTGGGTTTTTGTTTAAGAATGAGAAAAGGAAGTATTTTTGATAGTTTTGTTTGTGTTGAGGTGAAAGGGAAAGCTGGGATTCGGTTGGGGAGGAAGAGGGAAATGAATGAAGGAACCGTTGAGAAATTTTATTTTTGGAGGGAAAGGGAGGTTTGGTTAACTTCAACATAGTTTAGAGAGACAAAGCAGGGAAAATATTTTGGTTGAAACTCTGCTGTATTTTCATTTATGGTGCATGATTGCGCTTCAAGTCCTCTTAAAGACACCCAAATTGTTAGAATTTCAGACTTTATTAGAGACCTTAGAGTTGAATTTGAAAAGAGTAGAGTTTCCTTTAAATAAGAGAGTAGAGAGTTTTTATGGGATTCACTTTTGAGAAGGAAAAACAACACCAAAAGAAAAAGAAGAAATTCATAGGACCTTGGATTTAAAGAATTCACTTGCATTTCAGACCGCTGAGAGTAATAAATTTACCACGCACAAAAACAGGAAATTCCAGCAAGGAGAAATTTCCAACTATTGTTTATAGCAATAAATTTGAGTACAACCTCAAGAGTTAAGCTCAAGCTTTTGTTTTTCTCTTTTCTGCCAAAAAAGTGTAAAATGCCTTCCTTTTCCGTTGTCTTTTCATTACTTCCAAATAATAAATTTGATATAGGAAACAATATTTATCAGAATGGGAAAACCACCGTCTTGTTTTTGCTCGGGACAGTTCAGCCCCCCAAAGCACCAAAAATGGAAAAATGGGAGAGCTACGATGGAGCATTGAGACTTCATAACTCAAAGCAATCAGGAGCAACAAGCCTAAAGGTAAGCTGTTTTGCACCATTCTCCTTGATCAATCACCAGCATGCATGTACCCAGATTCATGATGGCCGATAGATAATTGTAAGGAAAATTCAACAGCCAGACCAACATTAGTGCTTCTGATGACGAAGGATGAATGCCTTACACACAGATTCTGCGCCTTTAAACCCTCTAGGAGTAAGTAGCAAGACCATGTTGTGCTCTATTCTCCCATTATCACTGAAGATATGCCATTAAAATGTAGTGGCGTAATAATCATTTCATAAGCTCTTGCACACATTTGTGCCCACTGCAGCCTTGGGATATGGAGGCAGACCACCTTCCTTAATAATATAAGAAGGCATAATCATCAATGTTGTAACCATGCAGTAGACATATGGAGCTTCCTCCTGTCGCCATGTATCAATTTAATTTGTTTTTGCAGTGGCAGGATTTCGACCAAACTGGATGATTATTGGTTTGCCTTTGAACACATACCCATTAACTAGGTTCTGTCAGGAAGGAATACAATTGAACAGCAAATTAGCTTATCCATTTGTTATTGTTAGTACAAAGTAAACAAGTAATTTCAAGCTGGTTTGGCTAGCTAGGACAACTGATACTCAATGCTTTCAAATTACTCCTAGAATGCATCCCTTGGTTGACTTCAATAATCGTTAGAGACTAGTGCAGGCCATGAGGCAATGTTTACAAGATATATGAACCGCACAAACTCACTTGTGCCAAGAAAACAAGAAACCTGAGAGAAACATACCAAAGCACGGTGGGCAAGTTCAACTGCTGGAAATGTCACAAAAGCTTGGCCCCTCATCCTTCCCTCCTGAATTCAAAATATTATAGTCAGTTTCACAATTAGGTAACTGCAGCACTTTGACCTGCATGTAAGTTAAATATTCTGAACAACAAGACTCAGTTTTTCCATAATTACAAAAACATATTCTTCTGGTGTCAGTATTTTCCAGCAAAAATTCAAGCAATAAAGTTGGAGGTAAAACTTAAATAAGCCAAGAATAAAGCTACAGAGAGCACAATCTAGAAGTAAAGTAACCTGCATTAGCTTCACATTAAGACTGGATTTAGCTGCATCAATGCTTCCAAATAATGATCCTACATCGCAGCAAGACTTAATCAGTCAAAATGTTTTTGCTCATAGGAATAAGGAACAAAGGAAGGTTCCAAGGACTTAAAAAGAGCAGTTTTTTCCTGCATATTTATGATGTTATCTCTTATCTTCCTTTGCCTCTTTATTATGGGCATTGAGATGCTAACTGGTTACTATTTATGAAAAGCAAGAATAAAGGCATTTAGTCTCACCAAAGATGAAGTAGAAATCTTCAGGAACAACATCCTTTGCCAAGTTCTTTATATACAACACAGAAGCAGGATTTCCAGCTGCATAGTTCTGCACAATCCAAAGTGTTACAATTCAGTTTATGCTTTGTCAGATGCATCTGATTCATGCTAATTGTCATAATTAATTGGTACAAGTTAGCCATGATCCTAGAAGCAAGTAAAGGATTAAATTCAAGTGGTTCTCAAACAGCTAAGAAAAAGAAAAGCTTTCATACCTGCATAGATGAGTAAATGGAAACTAGGTCAATTGCATATTTGGTTTAATATACTATCCGAAAGCATCTACCGAGATAAGTTTCAATACCTTAAACATTGGAAGTGATAATATTTCTTCTGGAGGCAACTTTCCCTTTTCCAACTCATCTGCAGTAGCAAAGCATTTAGCATCTGAATCCTCCCCATTAGGTTCCTCTGAAATCTGTTTGTAGTCATCATCATCATCTTTCTGTTCATTAGGAATGTGTTTGGGAGCAATTTTGATCTGTGAAAACACCAGAAGATTGTCAAAATTTAGACAGAGTAAAGCTCACCCTAAAACGTGTTCCTTAAATAATAATATGACCTGTAATACAGGGTTCTTCTTTTTTATCAATGGATTTCTTTTGGGATCAAGGTGGCAGGCTTCACTCCAACAGCCTCATGAGCCACACTTTTATCAATTGCAGGGCCTACAATAGCTTCTCGCCTGGCACGCTTACGTGCAGATTTTGCCGCACCCTTGTTGTTGACCTCCTACAAACATGTTAGTCAAGGAACAATCAACAACTACTAGAATCATATATAGGGTTAAATTTCACCAGAGCGCTTCTTTCAAGGTACATAATTTTAGTTAATTTAATCTGAAATGGGGTTAATGATTTTCAGTACATTACAGCAGTATCCTACCTCATCTGAAGACTCCATTTCTGATTCACTAGAAGATGCATCTGCAAAATGAGGCTCTGTAGGTGTGGAAGCCGGAAGTGGGGGTGGGGGCGGGGACGGTGGCTGTGGTGCAGCTACTGAAGGTGGCAGAGGCGGTGTGGGCAAAGCCATACGAAATGGAGCTGGAATATTCATTTTATTCATTAGGTGCAACACCTGAAATTGAAAGACTATTATTGTAAAGGATATATCCCCAACAACAGTTAATTAAATAAAATGAAGAAAAATCATAATTAGAAGAACCTAAGAAGAAACATTAATAAGCATTGAAGTAGCTTTAAAGAAAACCTGTATATAGAAGCGAGGAACAGCAATAAGAGCATTAACGATATTGGTCAAAATATTTCCATCTGGTGGAGGGTATGCATATCTGCAAAACATGTATAAGCTTTTGTTCATATCTGACGTGATTATATTTAGAAAGAAAGCAGGGCACCCTGACTGGCACTATAAAATCATTACTGTATAAAGCATTGTGCATTGGTCAGAAAAACCAAACTTTATACCATATGTGCATAATGCTTGACACTATATCTGCAACTTCACATTTAAAGGGCTGAGAAAAAAAAGAAAAAGGAAACTTGAACAAGATAAGGAAACACTCACTCAAGGTGAGGAGGAAATGGATAGTCTACTCCAAGTCTAGGCGCAATTGGTTCACTAGCAGGTACTGATCCTAATCTTGAACCTTGATTCCGGTCTCTAGCCAAGTTAGCATCTTTCACCATTGATGCAGATTGTGGAAAATCCTTTCCAGGCTGAACTCCTGTTTGGTGAGGTTTATTATCCTCAGTTGTCTTATTAGCTCTCTCCACTGATAAGACTTTACCGAGAAACCTCAGGCTAAGCAACCACAGAAATAGGATAGTTAGATAACTATTTCTGACATTGTATCAACATTAACGAATTAAAACATATTTAACGGGCATAGCACAAAATGTAACAAATAACACAGGGTTACTATCTAATGCTAGTGAGAAAAATATCTCATATATTTTATCAAACCATGTGCCTAACATCGGAGAATAATGAATGGGCATAATCTCGAAATTTACCCATTTAACTGACGCTGAGCTTGAGAAGCCAATGCTTCATTTTTGAAATCCACAAATGCACAGTTTCTCAACCTATATAACAAAAGAAGGAAAATCTGATGCGTATGATAAAAACATAGACCTGCAAGACCTTAGAAAGCTAATTGCAAACTGAATGAAATTAGCAAGCTAATTTCAACTTTATTTACTTTCCACTAGAGCAAGGACGAACAGAGGATGCGCCATAGTGAGAGAAAAGCTGCAAAAGGGTGTCACGAGGTATAGCCTCAGGAAGATGCCGAATCAAAAGGGTTGTCACAGACTCCAATTCTTGAGGGCTTGATGTTGTTCCTTCTACACCTTGGTACCCAAAATGCTGCATTTGGGGATTGCTAAAAGGCTGTGAGGATGGAACAGCTGCCATTAAAGCATTCACAGCAATTTATTTCCTTTCCTATAAAAATAAAAATAATCCAAATGTTACACTTTAAGAAAAAAAGAAAAAATTTTCGCAATGTAAATGACCAGAGGGAATGGTAACATACACATCTTGTAGAATTGAATTTTCATTTGTTTGTTATTATTTTGATGTGGGTATTATCAAAATTCTTAATATGATTAAAAATTACCAGCTTTACAATATTTTCAAAAAAATTGAAAAAGAAAACATCATCAACATGGCAACATTAAACTATATAAAACTAATAAGAATTTAATCTTCTTACATTCAAATTCTTGTCCTCAAAAAAAAAAAATAAAGACAACTTTTCAGAAACCCATATGCAATTTCATGTTTTTATACAATTTTTCGTTACATGAGAAAGTGAAAACGTACCTTTGAGTTTTGGGTATTTGATTTGCTCTGCTTTTTCCTGCTGCTGCTAGACTATTCTTTCCCTGAAGAAATCTTGTTCTCAATGAAGAAATAAAGAGCGCGTTTAAAAGATTCGGGTTTATGGGTGGGCTTATGAGACCCTAAACCTTGGGCTTGTTTCATCACTGTTGGGCTTCATTTAAAAACTGAAGATGTTCTTGGGCTTGTTTAGTTAAGGCCCAGAAGCTCAGGCTTGTTTAGTGAACTTTCAT